GCACAGCACAAGTCTGTGGTGTTTGCGGTGTTTCTGCAGCTTGCTCATCGTGTGCATGGCTGCTCCACAGAGCCCAAAGGACTTGAAGTAATCAGCAGGGGCTGCGATTACAGAGCTGGCCTCCTCGGTCTGCAGGTGTGGTAATGGGGGAGGTGGGGAATGCAGTAGCGGGCTACTGGAATGACACAGCAAATGGGGAATGGCTGTTGTTGCCTCTGCCTCTAGAGCTGTTTGGGGAACCAAATTTATGTAGCAAGTGGAAGGCAGAAGGCAAAAAAAAACCTCCTTTATGCTGCACACAAGAGCTGTGGATCTCCTTGCCACCAAGTGCACTAGAAGTTTTTATGTGTTCACCAGGGTTTTGGAGAGGCTAATTGTAGAGAAGTATGAATGTACTGTATGAATGACTACGGGGCACACAGGAGCCATTTACAGTTCCTCTGATTCAGAGTTCTTGAAACTGGGACAGTACGGTAGGAACTGTTGCTGCATGTTTGCTCTGTTCCCATGCACTTCCCTCTGCACCTTTTGGCTGTTGCAGGTACAGTGTGCTTCTTAAGCTTCCAGGACAAGCATAGAATATGTCTTTCATGTACTAACTGTTGGAAATCTCTTTGTTAAATGGGAAGGGAAGGGAAGAGAGGAGCTATGCTAAATGCTGAAGTTATGTCATTTAGAAAGTGCTGTAATACCACAGTGATGACTGTCGTGTAGCTGTCAATGTAGACAGGTATGCTATCAGATACCTTAGAAGTGACCTGTTTGACTGCTGTGAGGAGCTACTGGAAGGTCAGCTATTAGACAGTTTGTATGAAACCAAAGCCCAGAGCAGTCTTACATCAGAATATTATATTGCAGAGGTTGTCACTGCAGTTCTAATTGGCTAAAATTTGCCATGACTTATTCTCCAGGCAAACAAATTAACTTGCAGTTGAACAGATTTCTTTGTCCATAATTTGGTCTAATACCTGACGAAAACAGTTGATTAGAACATGATTTACCGGGTTACTTTGTATGACTTGTATCTATGAACTAATAGGAACATGTGCCTATGCAAAATCAGGGGCGGGCTGCAGAGCAAATAGATACAACTCTAGAGAGAGCAGCTGCGGTTTGGTGGAAGGGGAGGAGGAGGAGAAGCTTCAGAGAGTCTCTGGCAAGGTTGTCAAGGTTACAGATACTGTTGCTTCTGTAGGTGAGTGGCTTGGGCATTCTCTGCTGATAATTGGTATCAGCTGTTCTCTTTTGAGATAATAGAATTTGCATTTTAATTGAATTGTTGCATTTATCAACACCAAAGCATAAAACATAAGTCACCGGAAGCTTTGCAAAGTATCATCATAAGGAATTTGGGGGAGGGGGGGTGGGGGAGAAGAGTGCAGTTGTTGCATTTACCTGGATAACAGTTATAAAATTTTAAAAATATGTATGAAATGAGACTCTGGTTATAAATTAACCACCAGATAGGCTCTCCTGATTGATTACATCCCAGCACAAATGCAGTTTTGGAAGCTGTGATTCACTGTTTCGAACATTTCAAGCACTCCAATCTGGTGCTCAGTGTGACAACGCAGGGGTTGCAGTCAGTTTGCTGCTTTGAGGCATTGCTGAGACAGCAGCAGTAGCAGTGCTTTAGCCCTGGAAAAGGAATCTCCACAGATACCAGTATGGTATGGCTCAGAGTCTGACAGCGTCAGGACATGCTTTAGGAAAACAAATGATGTCGTGGTAGATTTCAAACTGTGCTTGGAATTGGTACAATAGGTCATATTGAATTTTCTGCCAGGTTTAAGAGTGATACGGTAAGATCTTAATTCAATGCAAAGATGTGCAGCACCACAACCTTCCTTAGAGCTACATGAACATACTCAATTAGGGATGTGGCCCAGGATGTTTGTGCAGTAGATGAAATAGGCTCCAAGAACACACTGCTGCTGTAGGATGCACAGACACAAGATGTCACTGCAGTGGTGTCCTTGCAGGTCGGCAGAAAGCAGGCAGCCTGCTTTGTAGGCAACAGAGAGGAGCTGCACTCTGCAACTTACTGTACACCAGTAACATCCAGCCAGAAAATCCACCAACACTTTGGCATTAGAGCAGCCCCCCACCTCTTACTTTGAAATGCTTCTCATGTGCGAAGTGAGGTAATTTGGAGAACTATTTAAGGACTCACAAAATATCCTGCCCTTTGTGACAGGAAGCTGGAAATCCCACTAAATCTATATGAACTTCACAATTTTAAGTAAAGGAGAAGTTCCAGCAAATGCCATGCCTTTCAGGCAGCGTATCCACTCTGAGTTTGGAGGAGACACCACTTTCTGTTTTCCTCCTAAAGGAGAGTGAGGAAATGGCACTTTCTGGTCTAAAACCACCCTTCCTATGCCCACTCGACCTTCTTGTCCCACTACCCATTAAAATCCTTAATTTCTCAGTTTCCCCTCCAAGGAGGAAGAATAGTATCAGTTACTGGTTCATTAGCACAATACCCATGATGGGCATCTCCCCACACTCCACTGCATTCCCCATAACACAGGGACAGAAGAGGCTGGGGTGGGAGAAGAGGTCTTAGGATCTGAAGAAACAATGAAAGGAGAGCTGGGGAACTGTTTCCAGTGTTGAAACCGTATTGTACTGGCATTTACTGTGGGGTGTTGCTGTAATACAGTCAGTTCAGCCTCTTCATTGGTGACCTTACCTGTCGCATTACCCAGGATGTTGTACACACACAAAGAAAAAGATAAGGCAGGGATGTGAGTTGACTACTGCCAGTTTTAGGTAACATTTGCAGTTACAGTAATGAGGGATGCAAATGCAGGATCAGGATTTTCCATATAATGGTTGCATGAGACTTGCTTGACAACATGCTTTGCTGGTGTCATTTGGTTTTGTTGGCAGCCTTCTGAAGCAGATGGCTTGAGATGTCGCCATTCTGTAGGTTTCTCAACAGAAGCATTTCCCCCATATTAAATAGTTTAACAGTTTAGGATGAACTTGTTCTCTTTACATTTAATAACTTTCTGATTTAAGTAAGATTAGTCACGCATAGCACTGAAGTACTGCTATAGTGAATGGAAGCATTTGCACTCTGAATTCTAGTGAATTACATTACATATGTTGCACAGCTTTTACTTTGTTCTCTGTCTGGTTTTTATAATCAAGTATAGCCTGTAGCATCGATTTTTCCAGAATGAATTAAATCTTGTACATGGGATTGTCATCACGTGTTTTTCTCATGCTTTTTAAATAGTGGTTGAATTTCAAGTGGTCTTGCAGGTCTCATGGAGAATTTCTTCATGGAAAGTGGATTCTACTTTTAATATTTTAACTCTTTGTCATGCAGCTTTCTATACCAAAAAGCTATTATGAGCTGGCATGTAAAACACTCAGGTATCTCACTAAGGTGAGGATGGACCCATCTTGGGATGAAAGCTTAGTATGCCCAGAAGAATAGTGTATTTGACTGATATAGAGCTATGCAGCTTACAGTGGAAATCTCTCAAAATTCCATGGAGAATGGCATAGTCAGTAATTGCTTTATCTCAGCTGTGAGCATGATAGTGCCCCATGTGCAGAGGTATCCAGCAGCTCATCCTTCTGCACTGGTCGGGTCCTCTCTCCTGCTTAGTGTGCTGTAGGGACAGGCTGAGGGATGGGCAAACACAAAAGCACTCTAGGGTAGTAATGCAGATAACTTTACATGAGATGTGTGGAGAAAGACTTGGGGGTCCTGGTGGACAAGAAGCTGGATGTAAGCCAGCCAACTGCTTGTTGGCTGCTATATCAGTGCATGAATGCACTGTCTGAACCAGAGATACAACTATTACATTTGATCTGTGAACTATTTGAGTTGTGGTTTAAAATGCGGAGCTAGCACCGACCTCCGGTTTTCAGAGAAAATGCTTTAATAAAAGTGTGTGGCTTAGTTCCTACAGCAGAGTTCTGCGGGTGGAAGATTAAACTTCACCTGTGATTTATTTACTGGCGTGGCAGACAGGCTGGCAGTTGACTGCCAGAGCTTTCCATCAGAATTTCAGCTGCACCACAGTATCAGAAGGGATGGAAGCACGCTGCTCCACGCTGCACATTCTACCTGGTGGGTGGTGGCACGCAATGCTGCAGGGTAACCAGGCTGTGCCCCAGCAGTTCTGTGCTCTCAGTGAATAGCGGGCCCAGTCGTGCTGAGAACATAAATAACAGGAGGTGATTGGTAGGGTTTAGTGCTGCTTTACAAACGTGTGTGGATATTCAAGGCAGAAATAGATACTTCTTTTTAACGGAGCTGTAGATAATGCAGCATGCGCAGCCTTCTGCAGTGGAGAGATGTGAGGATGTCACCTTCTGAAAGGATCAGATTAGTGCTGTGAACTTAGTGCTGGTGGCTCGTTCTCCTGCCTCCTCCTTGGAAATGAAGTCATTTCAATGTACAACAAAAAGGACGTTTGTACACTTGCTGACTTACATAAAATGGAATACTTCATTCTGTCCATGAACCATGAAAAGAGACTTTATTCAGAAGAGGCTGGTACTTCTACGTCCTGGGATTTCCCATGAAATGAAAAATAAACTAATCTGATACTTTGACTACTACACAAAATGCACTGTGTGCTTCCAATGGAGAATTGATCACATTTATAATCTGCTCCCTAGTAGCATTTTTTCATCATCGATGACCAGGTTTTTCTCTTGCTTAAATCTTTTTTTGGCATTCTGACCAGTCTGTGCCTGTCATAGCTGTGTTCACACAAGGGATGTATCTCACTTCACTTGCAGAGGGCAGGGCAGCCCTTGCTGAAACCAGAAGAAAATCAGAATCCTGTTTAGAAGGCAAGGCTCCTTTCCTCTTTGCCTCTTTTATGTGATGCGTACAACGATCCTGTTTGTTAACTGTGCCCAGTGTTACTGACTTTGTGTTAGATTTTCAGTCCTCGAGACTAAAACTGAATTGTGTTGGATTATGGTGTGCTGTGGGTATCACGTAACAAACTCTTTCCTTTCTTTAGGTCCAAACTGCTTTGCAGAAACCACTGTCATTCCTGCAGGCCGAGAGGTGAAGACTGACGAATGCACTATATGTCACTGCACTTATGAAGAAGGCACGTGGAGAATTGAACGACAAGCTATGTGCACTAGACATGAATGCAAACAAATATAGGAAATCTACCAGTCCAAGAACTCTCATGGTTTTTATAAACTATCTCACAGCAGTGAGCACTGTGGATGACCCAGGGAAATCGCAATGAGAAGATTCTGGTGAGGAGCAAATTGACTATGGATACTTTGTTTTTCACAGTCACGTAATTCTGCAAGGCAAAGCAGTGCATATATTTAAATAAAGTTTGGACATAAGAATACTTGTCTTAATAAATGTGTTATTTTCACAGTGAGTACACTAAAATACACTCTATAAAATATTCTATGTATTTCTATACTAACATAGAGCTTAAAAATAAATGTTTTATATAGACAGTACAGATTAAAGTACTGTATCATTGCCTGTCCTGTTGTGTACATGCACATAACTAAACATTACACTTCTATTCTAGTTTTATCATAGTAGAGTTTTCTTTGGGTTCTTGTGTTTGCTACTTTTTTTCTATTTGCTTACTTTCAGTTTATTGGCCAGGAAGGAGTCACTATATGATAAAACTTTGACATCCTTGCTGTTGGAAAAAAATGTAGTCCAGTATGCTTTCAGAGAATGTGCTCACTTATGCACTTAAGAGTAGTGCTGTAATATAAAAGTGAGTCAGCTCCTTTTCTTAGCTGCACTGGTATAGGTCTGCTGGTCCACAGCTGAGATCACTTGAAGCACTAATACAAAACTGGTCTCTCTTATCTGTTTTTATAAAACCTTAATTAGACCAAATCAGTTCATAATACAAAGTTCAGACATAAGATATTACAGCAGGGCAAATGCCTCTGTGACATCAACAATACAGCACTGCTGAGCTGGTGGAAATAGGGTAAGTCAGTGAGTGGCATCATCAATGTAACGTGCAGTAGATGTGGAGACGTGTGGATGGGCTGTGGCTGCACACACACATCCTTGGGCAAGAGAGAACCATCCCCTAGACCTTGCTGTTTCTGCCTTGCTGGTGCTTGTTCAGCTTTTTGATTCATCTCAATCTGTCTGGCTGCCTGCACAGGTTGTGTAACTGTGTGTTGACGAGAAATGTTTTGAGCCAGCTCTTCGAATCCATCAAAGGATTTATAGCACAGAAGCTGACTCTGGACACACACGGAGTGAATCACATCTCCCTGCTTCCAACGCTTACAGCCTTTGTTTAGATCCATGTTGGTTTTAATTTAGCTTATCTCCAACTCCTGGATTGCATCTGCTTTGAATATCTGCTAAGTCAGTGGCTCAAGAGAACACACACAAACAAGGGCTTACTTTAAGCTTTTCCTTAAAAAAAAAAAAAAAAAAGTGATGAATAAATATCAGAAAATGAATAACATTGCTTGATTCCCTTTTACTCCTTGCTACTTATTGCCATGCAGTAACCTGGTTTCCAGGTTTGGATCCATATAAAGTGTGGTTTTCTGGTACTGATGAAGGCCACGGAAGTTTTGCTTGTGACTTCAGTCAATCGCAGTTCTCTCTTCCAGTCTGTACTTTGAGTTTGTGTCTGTCTATTTCTGGGACTTATTTTGTCTTGAATGGGAAAAGAGGAGTGATAGAAATGAAGAAACCATCTCTTGCACAGACAGTCATGTGACAGTCAGACATGGCCTACTCACAGAGCAGTGTGAGAGGGGAAGACATTATTGATTTGAATAGCTTAAATCACTCAAAAATCCAGTAAATAGCTTTCCCTGAAGTGGATATGCATGTATGTAAACACTGCATGGAGACCGCTGTTCTCCAGTTGCCTGAATTCCTAGCAGGGATGCTAGAAGTATTACAACTGGCTTGTCACTAACTCAGCTGCTGGCTGTGAAGAATGATACAGACTGAAGATTTATTTTGTTTCTTGGAAGAGGAGAGAATGTGTTTTGTCTCTCGTTTGTAGCTTCCGCTTCACTGAAGCTTTTGTTAAGCTTTATCGTCTTTCTTTGGGCTTGAATTTATGTTCGTCTGGGAAGTTTTCTTTCTTGAAGTACTGATGACAAGGTTAAAGGCTATTTTACTGTGTCTTCCTAGTGTAACTTTTATAGCTATTTTTTATTGCTTTTCTTTTTTTTCCAAATGATATTTTTCATCTTTCAGTCCTGGCACCAACATATTCGTGTAATCTTTAGTTTAGCAATAGGTTGGTCCGTTCCCATTTGATATAGATTGTCCTGAACAAATTCATCTTGACAGACAGCTCTATGAATTATTTCTTGAAGACTATATTTTGAGATATAATCTTTCTGTTTGAGATATAATCTTCAAGTCTGCTAAGATGCAATTTCTTTATTTTTTTAACATAGTGAGATAGAAGTGGATAATCTTTGGACCTTCTTCATGCCAAGGTCACTGGCCGTGTCCAGCTTTGTCCTCTAGTGTTATTACGATGAGAGCTTTTTGGCTATTCCTGAGGATGGGCAGATGTCAGCAGCCTCACCCAGCTGTGGAACCAGGGAGTACAGGTATTTGTTGTTATCCCAGGAGGCAAGGCAGCACCATACAGCAGCTCATTTACCCACCCACCTCACGCCATTCTGTTCCCAGTGAGACACAGAAGAGAAAAGGAAGAGCAAAAGTGAGAGAATGAAAACGGGAGGAGGAAAAAAAAAAAGTGAAAAAACAAGTGATGATGAAAAGGCAATCACTCACCACCTCTCATAGGCAGATTGATTCCTAGCCAGTTCTTGAACAAAAAACAAGTAATGTACCTAAATATTGCTCTGGCTCTGTTTTATTGCTAAGTGTGGTGTTGTATGGTGTGGAATATCTCTTTGGCTGGAAGTGTGGATGAAGCGAAGGGGTGTCATTGAATTCCTCCATACAGAACTGATGGTGCCCACTGACATTTGTTAATGCTTGCTGAATGTTTTCAGAGATCAAACACTGCAAGCACAGTGAGGTGGTGAATGGTGTATTTCAGCAGTGGTGACAGTGACATAAAAGACAAGCCACATTCTGGACAGTCACTGCAAAATGAAGAACATCTCAATCAGCTCATCCTCACCGACCAGTAGATTATGACCAGGTAACTCTGCACTAAACTGAGTATCATCTTCAATACGCTGGAAGTGATGGTGGCAACACTGGAATCTCACAAATGAATGCTCACAGAGGAAGAGAATGAACACCATCTGCAAGTTTATAAGGACCAACTGAACCAGTACAAGGCTGAAGGTGACAGTGTCCTGCATCGCACCGCAGGTGATGAGATGGGGTCACCACCATGAGCTTGAATCAAAATGCCAGTCCACGGTGTGACAACCATGTGACTTCCCCATAGAAAAATAAGTTCAAGATGCAGCCCTCAGCAGGTACAGTGATGTGCATTCTACTTTGTGATAAGAAAAGGATGATCCTTCTGGATTTTCTGGAACCCAGTGGAAGCATCAACACAGACTACTACATTGTGATACTGACTAAACTGAAGGCTTACACTTCCAGTCAGGCCAGAGAAGATGACAACTTCTCTCTTGCAAGATGATAATGCCAGGCCCCATACCAGTTTGAAGCACATGGAGCACATTGCCTATCTTGGCTGAACTGTCCTACCACACCAAATATAGTCTGAACTTTGCACCTTCTGACTTCTATCCGTTCAGGCTGATGAAAGATGAACCACATGGGCAACCAACAATGCCATGATAGCAGTTGTGAAGCAGTGGGTCACCTCCACTGGTGAGGCATTCAGGCCTCATCACTGGCGAAAATGCTTAGCTAATGGTGGTGACTGTTGAAAAACTGTTTTGCAGCTGAGCATTAGCTCCATCAAATAGTTTTACTGTGCTCTTTTTATCTGTTGTTACCTCAGTGGAAATAAATAGGGTGCATTACTTTCAGAGTCACCTATATATGTATCCTACATGAGGAGTTTTTCAACTTTGTAGGTAGTTGTGTCTACGAAAGCCATATTTTGGGATACAGTGATAGCTCATTAATAATTTTGTATTTGAAGTCTGTTCCTTGAAAAATCTATATTCTTCTCAGATGTTTATATGTAGATGCATTGACATGAGTATGAGATTTCTGCTTCTGCTTCTATTGCTTCTGCTTATTTCCCAATTGAAGTAATGCCAAATTAATTCTTGGTTTGGCTTTGTCCATTTCTGTAGGAGTGTACTGTACATTAATTTGGCTTCAAACCTGTTTAAGTAGGTGCCTGAAGAGATAATATTCTAGATGGGTTTGGATAATTATAAAATTGCAGTTAGTGTGCAACAGTAATATTGATACTCATTTAAAACTCAAGAGGGAAGGGCGGCTATTCACCTAAATACTTATGCAAGATTTTAAAGGGAAAATGGGATAAGAAGGAAAGATGTGAGATATGAGACAGAGAAATTGAGTGTTACAGCAGGAATGTTAATAAAAGGAAAAACAGATCTACGGTGTCCTAAAGGTGTTTTACAGGGATATTTTCAAAGCATATCTTAAGGAAAGTAAATGGGAAATGTATTCAGACATAAACTGAAATCTACGAAATTACATTTGGAAATGATAACAAAAAATCTTAGTGTAAAAGGAGACTGATTATTGGAAGAGATTGCCCTGACAGGTTGCAGAGTCTCTGTCCATGAAGATGTTCAAATCCCTGAGTAGTGTGCTCTAGCTGGTCCTTCTGGACAACACTGAAAATTGAAAGCCATGCTGAAAAGAAATTTTATTAAGCTCTTAAGCTCCTCAGTACAAATTAAAAGATATGATGAAAGGTTCCCTCACTTTGGAAAACAATTTCTCATCTGTTTTCTTATCGTGTAATATGAACTGTACTGTCAAGATCTGTAATATTTGATGTTACTTTTGATGGTAACTTCAGTATTTAAACTTGGATAGCTCCATAATGCTTAGGAGGCTTTGACAGATACAGGAAAAGTCCAAACATGTGCCATTTATCAGTTACAGACAAGTCAAAATTATGTATTAATTAGTCAGTAATAAAAAAGCATTTACATAATTATCAGCACAAAAGCTAGTGTTTAAAAACAATCAACTCTCAATTTACCAGAAATATTTGTTAATTAAGTTCCTTTCTGGCTATTAGCTAGTAGTGATCCTATTTCTGTAACACATAACAGTTTCCTGCTTTTTAAAAATTTCTTGAATTCTAGGAAATATAAAGCATAAAAAAAGCTTTTGTTGAAAATAATATAATAACAAATAGGAAGTTAGTCCTGTTGAAGTAATTATTAGGAGTGTATCTATGGCAAATGCTAAGTTTGCCACCGAGATTTACCAATAATCTTGTTAATTTAGAACTTAGGAAGTTTCCCTGCTTCATATTTATTTGGCAAAAAGGGGAAAATACCACCTATAACACTAAACATTCCAGTTCCAGCAAAATAGAGCACTGCTGCAGATTTTTTAAGCAGAGATTGTAACTAATTGCAAAGAGGTGAATTTATGAAAAGCTTTGAAATTAGGAATGCAGTTCATAAAGAGTGAGGAAAAGAGCAAACTTAAAGAAGATCTAAAATCATGAAATAAAAACAAATTTAACAAGCAATTAATTTTGACAGTAGAAAAATAAGGAAACCCTTTTTCCTTGGCAATATACACAAAGAAATTTTTTTGTTCTGGCTCCAGCAATAGGAGAGCATACAGTTTAGATAAGACTGCAAGAGGAAATTAGAAGTCCAGTTTAATATTGTTAACAGAGATCAGGATTTCTTTCACATAATATATACATAACAAACCACCTGTACTTGACTGCAATCAGTGAATGAGAGACAACATTTGCAAAGGTTCGTGTGAAATGCTTTTGTTCATAACAGACGAAATCAAAGGCAAAACTTTGTAACACTTATTTTACTTTTTCCTGAATGTCATAAAGGGCGTGCAAACTTTGTGGATTAAAATGAATTTTACTTATCAAGAGGGCCAAAATATATCATTTCAGCACTCTGCTAATATGCATATAAATACCTAGACAAGAAAGTCAGTATTTCAATGTGTGTAATACCCCAATTAAAAGTACATCATTTTTATTATTCTCCTTCACAGTACAGATACGACGGTATTAATCCCTTTAATTGTTGGAATGGTTGGAAATTGCCAACCAGAGTGTTCTGGTTTTGATGTACAATAGAAAGGTAGACATATGAATGTAAAAATACCGCTTAATTTATATTTTTACTGCCTTAAAAAGCCTGCATTCATTTCAGAGGATAATTCTCAAATTAATTTGCTACCCGTACTGTAGAAAGCTCTGTGTGCCTTTATTACTTGTTAGGTTGGTTTTTTTTACCAAAACAAACTCCATATTTTTGGAAAGTAATACTGCAAAATGTGCTTTCTCTTTAGCCACTGATTCTTCAAACTAATGCTAACTAATTTAGTGCCATCGTGATTGGGAAATTATGAAGATAACGTAAGGATGTGCAGTACTCCAACCAAATGTAATGACTCCTCTCATTTGCGGTCCATTTATTTCTTATTACCAAGTGAAAATAAGGACTGGATAGCCTTCAGACATTCTACGGATTACAGTTTAACAGAGTTGGATTTCCTAAGTACTAAATGTTTTTTTTTAACGTGCTCTTTCTCAGCTATTTATTTTCAAGTGGCATTTGATAAAAATAGCTATTTTATATATTCTGCTTGTTACGCTGTTTATGCTAATGATCAACAAATAAGCAGTGTCATGTTTAAAAGTTACTTCTTAGAAGTAGTACAGTATTTTTAAGTCCTTTTTTGAAAAGAAAACATGCAAAGATGAATGTTTTTAAACCTGACGTTCATACTTGTGCTTTAAAACAGAATTACATGGAAACCCCGTTTTTCAGATGACAAAGGGCTAAAAATGACCTACACACATCTAGCTCTCATGGTCTTGCAGCTAACAGAGGGAATGTATAAATAGGATTTAAAACAGAATTCTGTTACAGAATACCAATTGAAATGAAGCTACTAATAAGTAACAAGGATTGCATTAAGCCATCAACTCACTAATTCTTGACACTTTTACAAAAGTAAAGAATGAGTGTCATAAAAATTGTCATGGTATTTTATGCTATTGTTTGTTTTCTTCAGGTAAAAGCATGTTAGCTGAAACTGCTATCTTTAATGGTAGAACAGATGCACAACCTAAGAAATTTTACATTATTTGAAAAGAAGTTTCTGAAGTATTACTATTATAGTTCACCTTGGAAGAAAGTTTTGTTCATGTTTTTGTACTTGGTGCTATATTGAGCTGCTCACTACAGTTCTCCTAACCAAAGACTGAACAGTCAAGCAGATGAAAGCTGCTGTACAGAGTCCTTATGCTAATCTATGTCAACAGGAGATGACTGGAACAAAGAACAAACTAAGCAAAATAGCTCCACCTTTTTTCTTTTTTTCTTTTGATTTAAATAGTTAATTATCTTCACTGCTCTTAATCTGGTGGGTAGTTACAAAGACCTTAAAAATGAAGTACTCCTAAGTGATGCAAACTAGAATATACAGATGAATCATTATTTCTTAAAAACAATAGTATCCTATTGACGTAACCAGAACAAACTGTACTCAGGTAAATATATAAATATTTTAATAAAAAATTTATTAATATTACCAGGTTAAAATGCATGAGAGCTATTGCAGCTTTGCCATTCCCTCTATTGTCAGCATGTTGTTGCTCCGTATATCAAACTGGTGTCACACTGAAGACAGTGAATTCCATTACTGGGATTGTAAGATCTTGGGCTGCAGATAACTATATGGACACAAAAAAATCAATGAATTTTAATGGCATTAATACAGAACTATTTACATTTGAAATATCCAGAATACATCTTTATCTATTTGAAAAGAGAAAGATCATTTATTTTTCCCCAGTATTCTGCTAGTTGATGAAAGCAGAATTTCAGCTATTTGGTTGCATCTCAAACTTATCTTCTACAGCTATCTTCAATTTGGCAATATTAGCCTTAGTTTAGGAAAGATCTTTAATGAACAGCATTAGTACTCAGTATGCAGTGGTATTTAAGACATTCCATCCTTTTAGAGAGTCTATGTTTAACTGGTTATTTGGTTTGCCTAGCTTAGTAACGACTTCTTAGTCTCTACTTCCCAAACCTTCAGCAGGACTTTCAATACTTGGATTACTGGCAGGATTCTGTTGATTCTCAGTGGGCTGTTACTGGCTTCCCTAGCATTTTTTTGCCACTGCTATTGACTGGAAAAGATTTTAGAGGTCTTAGGAAATATATGCAAGAGGGAGTCCTCTGTAGATGGCATCTACACCTTGCATTTTTAGTACATGAATTTAGGTAACTCAAGATGGCTTTACAGGAAAGAGAAAGCTTTACAAATACCCATAAGCAAAAGCATCTACTGGTATACCAGAGGAATAACTATATTCTTTTTGTCAAAGATTATAGATACACTTCTGGGAAATAATACAGATTCTTTCATTTATTTAATTGGAACAAGGTAGCATTCTATTGCAACAGGATAAAAAGGTTGTCCCACTGTTGTGCAATCTGCTATCTAGGGGACAGCTTGAAAAGGATAATGGAACCTTAACTAGGTGACTTGTAGCTTACTTACACAGCTGCTGGATACTAAATGATATACTTGGAATCCTTTTCTACAACAGAAAACTCCTATTGGTAGTAAACCATCACTTTAAAGTATTAGTGTGACGTGAAACTAAGTGTTATAAAAACAGTAGAGGATACAGAACAGGTAAAACTGAACATCCGCCTTTTTGATGTATGAAAACTAGAGTAAGTTTTTGTTTATGAATCAAGCAATAGATATACATATTTTTTTTCTCCATGTTCCAGGGCCTATGCCGCACTCTTTCCAATTCTGTCACATTCTGATTGAGATCAGAAGCTTAGAAACATGTTTCTATATTCCAAAATAGAACTGGCATATACACAGGTAACACAATTACCTGAGGTTTGTGTAAATTGATGTGGATTTACAGTGAAGACAAATACTTAATCAATCTGAAAGCACCTGGTATGGCAGCACACACAAATTCAATAAACTGCAGAAAACTACAACTAGAAGGGAATTTTTGAAAGGATTACATAACAATGTGTAAAGGAGAAATAAGAGTTGGAGAGGAATTGGTAAAGGGATTGCTCTTGGACAAATTTTACTAATGTTTTTTCCTAACAAGAAAAAAAGAACTAACAAGATTATCAGATGTTCTTAATATCAAATAAAGGTATTAAATATGTAAAAGGCACTGGTAAGAGCTGATGTGAAACACCTTGCTAAGTTCTAGCCATCTGTGTGCAAGAAAATTAAACTCAAAATGGGGCATGTGAGATTAAGGTTTATCAAAAGCATATAAAAAGTGGTTGACTTGTTCTGACTGTAAAAAAATGTAAGTTAAAGGTCAGTCTCTATACTAGAGCAAATAAATAGAAACTTTCCATGAATTACTTTACATTAGAAACTGGATCTTCTAATTACAAAGCAACTGAGACCAAAGCTTCCAAACAGTTTTAAAATGGACCTTAAATCTCTTAACTGATACCATTAAGAGTCATTTAACTCTTAAATGACCTGCTTCTTGCAACTCCAAGTGAAAATAGTGGGCCACTCAAGAAGCTGAACTCTGCTTCATGGAAATACATTTATTAAAATGCTTCCATGACTGCACGCATGCCTCCAAAAAAAAAGAAAAACCAAACCAAAAAACAACCAGTCACAGTGAGTGTGTATACTCACAGTGAAGTGAGTATGATTAGCCTGTATCTAAGATACACAAAGCAATTCTCCCATGCTTATATGGTCTTTTGAGAACTACTTATGAAGTCTGAGACACTGAAAAGAAATGTAGAGAACTTCTAGTAGATAGCAGTAACACTCTGCAGAGGCCGTAAGCCGAAACACGACCCAAAAGACTGAACTTTAATTTCAATGAAGGCAATATCAGAAAATGGTAGAAATCTTCTAGGACATACAAAAGCTGTTGCTAAGATAGAGTTGACAGAATTGTTTCCAGATTTGCTGACACATAACAAGAAGTAACAGGTATAAACAAAATCAAGGGAAACCACAAAAATTTCTTAAAATAAAGCTTTCCAATGGCAAGGATTTTGAGTACTGAGTTCCATGTCCTTAGGAGTCTGTGAAGTCTAACCTTAGAGGTTTTTAAGATCATGCAGGACACATCTGTCAGTAAAAACTCCTATCTTGCTTTGAGGCAGAATGATGGACTGCTGTATAGCAGAGGACTCTTTCAGCTATATTGCGCATGATATGATGTTTAGGATTCTGGCAAAGATTAATTATACCAAGAGGTAAATGAAAGAGAAGAGTATATGTCTGAGAATACTGGCAGAATGACATCTGCAGCTATGGAAAGTGGTAAGCAGACATGTTTCAGAACTGCTTCAGGTACTTCAGATGTGAAATGTTGCCTCTGTATCTGCCAAAGATGCATCTGTATCAACAGGTAAGACAAAAGTTCTGTTCTGAATAAAAAAAGGAATATAAATTAGTATAGAATGGACTAAGACACTGCAGAGTGGAAGACCAAAACAAAACAGCAGTCTTTAAAAAACAGATCATCCTAAAAGCTTTTCTAAACTTAATTTTCAAGTACTTTTTCTTGAAATAATGTGCACTGACACTTTGTATTGCAGTCAATGCACTGAATTTGGTGTATATCTTGTCCTTCCTGAAATTATGTCTTTCTCACAAAGACAAGAAATGGGAAAAAGCAACTGCATGTGGAAACACTTTCTATGTCCTATCATTTTAGAATTGTCTCCTTCTGTTGTCTATTTTCTCCAATATTTTAAATACTCATTTTTTAAAGTGTAGTCCATTCTGTTAATAGTCTTTGATAAGTAATCCAGTGTTTCTTTCACCAATTCTAGCTCTGTAAAGAATTATCTATGTAAAAAGATTGACCACAGATGAATCTCTATGAATCTGACTCCTGATGTTCCTTTGAGACTTCAGTCCCAGTATATAGGAATCATATCAATGAATTTTTTTCCAGGGGGAAATAAAATCTGACAAAGCCATTTAAAACATAAATGAACAAGATTTGTTGAAATAAAACCATTGTAACAGCATTTAATGCTTGTAAGATATAAGAATTTTGTCACTTACCACAACACTCTGGGCAGTCTGGATGCCTTACAGCATTCACTCCATATCCTGGGTAGCAACGATCAACCCACACCATTTGCAGTGTACCTTCAATGTAGTATATTTCAGGCAATGGTTCAGAACTTTTCTTCCTAATTTCCACCTCTTTCTTAAAGAATCTCTCTATGAGGTCCTTTGCCTAAATTGAAACAAATAAGTATTTTTTTTAGAATCAGTGATGCAAAGAGGTCAAAATAGAAGATAAAACCAAGGAACATGGGTGTGAGTTGAGATTAAGAATTAAAGGATGTATTTCTAAATCTTTTGATTGTAGCAGTTAGGTGGAATGGAAACAGGAAGGTAATCTGATATTCTTTGATATGTTGTCTTAAATGCAGATAAACCTTGCTCAATTAACACAGTATCTCTAAATGTTCAGGATTATAGAAATACAACCTTTAAATAAACCTGGATTATAGCATTAAAGCTATCCTGCACTGGATATCTGTAGCTCATCAATAGTTTTGCAAATTTCCCTCTTATACCAGTACTATTATTTAGGTCCAATTATATTTCACACTTTCCATCCATACTGAATATCTCTGTTCAACAAAAAGAAAATACCACACGCACACAAAAGAAAATACACACATAAATTACAAAAATGGCAAAAACAAATGTGTTTATGCATTCTTATTTTGATCTTGTCTGCATGAAAAAGGTAACCTTGACTATGAGCTTTCCCACAAATGTATTTTTTTTTCCAATGGACAGTATGGAAACTGTTTAATGAGTACTGCATGTTTGTGACTCCCTTCCCACTCCAGTTGAATCCCGAAGCATGATTTATGTACCTGATATTTCTTGACAGTGGATGGATGTAAATAGCAGATGGTTCAGAACAGCATTAAAAAACAACACTATATTGAACAGAGAGCACATCTATAATCAACATACTGTGAGGAAGGTGCTTAGAGGTAGACCACAAAAAAAAAACCACTGAAGGTTGCAACTGTCTTGAGCTTTCCTTTTTAAGTTCCTAAAGTACTTTAGTTCAGGTTGCAGAGCAGTATATTCATGATACACACTGTCCTAGGTGTTCCCCTCCTAGGGAAGAAGGCATATCTTTCTTCTGTCCTTCTTTCCTCTTTTTCCTTCGCCTTTTAAGAATCTCTGAATCAACGTTAACCTGATAAGCTAAAGTTTGACTTCTCTTTCTCTACTGTGAGAGCCAAAATCTTCAAGCAGCTAATATTTTAGTAGATCACAGAATCACTTTCTATCACAAGTGATGAAAAGGCATGCCATTGCAAAAATATGACCTTTAGTATTTGCAAGACTTGTCCAAAGCTTCCTGATTGTCTTGCTACTCTTCATATTCTTAAAATACTTTCCTTAATGCAGATTGATAAGTGGGATCTGCCTTACCCATATGGGCAACAGAATATTGTCAATTTTAACTAAATTTTATATTTTTTATTAATTTAGAACCGCTAAAACTTTTATATTGGTTTATTTACTAACTAAACTATGTTTCATGTTGATATTTTACTATACGAGAGTAGCCTATTATGTTAGTTGCAATTTTATTCCTCTATCTACTTTACCTTGTATAATCTATGAGGTGCATCACAAGCACTTTGCAGACATAGTTTGTTGTTTTCTGTGTCTAAGCAAGTAACTGTAACAAAATACAATCTGTTTACAGAAGAGCAAAGTCAGTGAAATCAACATTTCTATTTACTTGTTTACAAGAATCTAATAATTTCTGATGCAACTGTTTGGAATTTCACATTTCAGATGGCTAACTTGCAACATTTTAAAAACATTAATTTGTCCTCCTATAGACATTACCTCTATATCTATTTAAGTATATTGCATACACTCAAATATTTCATGGGAAATCATTTTTATTTGTAAATTCTGATGGCAAGGCAATATGTAATCCTGGATGCTTCGCAGACATATAGATATCCAAATCCTTTCAAAAAATAAATACAGTAAAATAAAATAAGCTACTGTCTATTTACCTAGATATCATTCTGGTTTTATAAATACAGATTTAGAAACAGCCAGGGATCCTAGCAGTTCAACCTTCTGATTGTTCAGACTGAATGGACTCCAGTTTTCTCTCAAGAACAACTTCATCAATATCAACGTTTTTAAAGATTTCCCAATTTCCCCTCACTGATCTCTTCCTGTGCGCGCATCTCAGTCCCATGTACTCACACACTCAACCCTTCCATCCTCATAGGAACCTCTATGAGGTACTGAACCAAAGGAAAACTTTGAGAATGGATTTAAGAAAAAATGGTTACACTTTAGTAATCCATTTGCATGAGACCACATTCCTCATCGACTGTGACTAGCATGATATGGTGAAGGCCTGAGACATGATTAAGAAGCTGCTGGCCTACTCTCCAGAACCAAACCTTGATTAATCTGCCATAATAACATTATCTGTTATCATGTTAATTTCACTTCTCTTGAGCTTTACCTACCTCTGTCATAGAAGTAATTCTGAAACACCAAAAACTGCTTAGAAATAAAAAAAAAAAACTGCTTAGAAAAAAAAAACCTGACACCTCAAGGTGCTGAAGAATGTGTAGTTTACCATTGGGTTACATCAAAGTTTAAATCCACCTAAATCTCTAACTGGAGAACTTCTCTTTGATTGTAGAAAAGCTTCAAAGCATTGCTTAAACATTTTATGAAGTCTGCACATTGGCTAAATCTCATTTATGTCATCTCAACTAACTAGAATTAACCTAAACTAATGACCCTCTTCACATCAGTGCTATCCACTACAAATACCATCTTTAGAGAAACACAACTAATAGTTTCATTGTTTTGGAAAGTGGAAAGTGGAAAAAAAAGTGCTACTGATATCCTTTGTTGGATATTTTAAAACTGCATATGTTGATATATAGTGACTAATGTAATTATATATATGAAAATATGAAATAATTGAAAACATTAAGCTCAAGAAAACTTGATATAAAATAGATATGTTCTTATCCACATTCAGCTCAGCAACTGCAAACTAGATATCTCTTGATAACAAAGTTTCCAAGTGAACTACGTATATAGTGAGACTGCTTTACTTTCTATTTCAATCTTCTTTCATAGCATAATGGATCTAGAACCTTTTCTCAAATGGTCTGAATGTTTAGAAGGAATACTCTCAAAAAAAGTAAAATAGTATCTTTTTTGGACTGACCCAGCATTACGATTTCTGACTTCCACAGCTGATGCATTTAGTGAAAAGCTGTTAATAGAAACATTTTATGAAAATTAGTGTATGTTAAGTGAATGTGAATGCCTATTATGTTAGTTAGTTAGAATAGTTAGTTAGTTAGAATAGTGTATGTGAAAATGTATTTGTAGTACATTAATCTTATGAGATAGTGTGAGATCATTTATGTACAAAAAGATTTGAATATCAGATATATCAGACATAATGTTTTGCAATTATTACAATATACAGTGGCACTCAGTAAGAACACTTAAATATCCCATAGCTTAGTGACTGACAAAACCACCTGATTATTTGCTTTTAACTGTGATTGAAGGAAACTACAAACACCAAAGTTAACCCAGCATTTTTGTAAACCAGTTTTACCCACTTCTCCTCTATACTCCTTTTGTTTAAAAAAAAATGGAAAAATATTAAATATCCCTCTTTCACTGTTGCCACTTAAAGAAAGAACTGTACTGAGATTCATCTCATTTAACTCCAAACCACATCCATAGAGAGATTTATACATCTATAATAGTTGACAAGAGGAAAGTCATCCAGGGAGTTACGGAATACAATGCATCAGTTTTCTTCCCATGATAGTGTGCAACAAGGAACATGATAAAGTTTTATGATGCAAAATAAAAAAACATATTGATCTACGTACAGCTGTAAAAAGTTCTGTACTCTAGTGAAATAATGTAAAAAAAAACACTTATGAGTAGATCTTCCTCTTTTTGTTACGGGTAGCAGCTTCACATGCAATACCTTGAAGCACTTCTACAATTGGAGAAATTAAATACATATAATACTTTCAGCATATAAGCAGTAAGTTCAATTAGCCGTAAAACATCTAACCATTCTCTACATCCAAGACAGATTTTTACCTGAAAATGTAAAGAACATTTCGTTCTGTAGGCCTCCTCTCTGCATTTTTACATGGTGGCATTCTGACTTAATTAGTGAAACCTCACATGAAAGGTCAGCAATGAGCTTGCTGAGTATCTGAAGCAGCGCCTTCCCAAAAGAAGTATTACGAAAACTATTGCAGGGGGCTGCATGGTACTGGACTGTCAACTCATAGTAATACTGAGGATCAGAATAAGCTGCAGGAAAAAATGCAAATGATGATGAGGAAAATGTATGAAAAAATGAGTTACTCACATATTTGCAAATAAAATTGTCGCTTTAAGTTCTTATCTTATAAACAAAATTAATTTGTTCTTAATTTGTTGTTAATTTTTAATGATAAAATAATGTATTCTGGACTGGTCGGAAACACGTAGGAGACTTTACAAGTCCATATTCTTAATTATATCCATAGGTTACTTTATGTTTATTACTGGCTGTGTTGTTTTTTTTTTTAAAAAAAAACAACAGTAAACTATAGAAGAAGCATCAAGAATATGAAAGCTAAGAAGCATGTTAGAAAATATCCTGTAGTATGTGGTGAAGTATTTCAACTCACACATTATCTTCAGTTATAGTAGTGTATTTTACTCTTCTTACTCAACTATCACAAACAAGTATTTTAAAGGATGTAATAACTGAATAGAAATCCCTTCTTTATCAATGTAAGTACCTGAACATGTTATCATACAGACATGAAATTTACATTTAAGGAAGAACCAGCTATTTAAACTTTACATGCACACTTGGGCATCTTTTACAAATATAATGTACCATGAAATGCATGGGTTTAGTTACTTCATGATAACCACTCTACTTACCCAAAGCTTGCTATCAGCTTGATATTAATAGAATGCTAAATTGAAAACAGAGGTAGAAGAATGAAGAACAGGAGTGATGGTGTGGGTAGAAACACAGAAATAAGGAGGGAGATTTGCAGAGAAGAAAAATGAAGGAATAGAAACCAAACCAGCCAAAAGAAAGAAAGAAAAAAAGAAAAAAAAAACCAACAAAAAAAAAACCTAATAGAATAATAGAACAGTCTGGATTGGAAGGAACTTTAAATATGTAGTTCCAAGCCGCCTGCCATAGGAAGGGACACATTCCACTGTACCATGTTGCCCAGGGCCCCATCCAACCTGGTTCTGAAACACTTCCAGGGATGGGATATCCACAGCTTCTCTGGGCAACCTGTTTCAGTGCCTCACCACCCTCACTCTGTGTAAAGAATTCTTTCCTTTTCTAGTTTAAAGCCATTATCCTTTTTCCTATCACTACACTCCCTGATAAAGAGTTCCTCTCCAGCTTTCCCGTAGTCCCTGTTAAGCGCTGGAAGTACAGCATCAAAATATCAAGAATATGGCATCCAATTAAGGCAGCTAATTAAATTCTCCACATTGATTTTGCTTCCCCCATTTCCTTTCACTTGCTGCTGCATATTCTGAATTTTGAATTTGGTATGCAAGTATTTAGATTGGATCCTTACTGAAAAATGTAAGACTGCATTACTGAAAACTGTAAACTTTCCCATCACAATTGCTTGAAAGAAATGTCTTTCAGTTCTCAGACAAGGTAACTGTTAAAGGTTACAGATATTCTATATCAAGGCTACTAAGGCCAGAGACAAATTAATTTACATCAGAGGCCAGTTTAGGTTACTGTGCTCTAGCAAGCCTTTAAATGAATACTGGTACATATTTCAAATTTGAGGTCAGACATCATTCCTGCTTAAGGCAATACAAACTCTTACCTAAATCTCCTCAAGAATTAAGGAAGGAAAAGAGATCTAGTAATGAATAAATGATATTGTCTTTGTAATATTTCAATTCATCAGCCATTCTTAACAAATGGATATGTAATCATAACAGGAAAGAATAAGCTACCAGTATTGTCACAGACTAATAGAATCATCAAGATTGGAAAAAGCCTCCAAGATCATCTCATCCAACTGCCAACCTACCACCAATATTTCCCCACTAAACTACATGCCTCAGTACAACATCCAAATGTTTCTGGACACCTCCAGGGATGGTGACTCCACCACCTCCCCGGGCAGCCCATTCCAGCACCTGACCATTCTCTTAAAGGCGAAATTTTTCCCAACATCAAACCTGAATCTCCCCTGGTGCAACTTGAGACCATTCCATCTTGTCCTATCTCTAGTTATGAAGGAATTATTTAATTAATTGATTATCTAATTAATTGATATATCATTTACAATGTAAAAACACATTCAGTTAATAATTAAGCCATTAACCTGTGTGAAATAAATCCATAAGGCTGTGCTAAAATTCATCTTCTAAAGAATAATTTCATTTTAAATTATACTATTTTTATGTTATTAAGGACTGTTATCTGTTCAGTCTGTTGCATTCCACTGTGTTTTATGTTTCTTTTTTGAAAAGAACTGTATTCATAAATTTCTTAGTCAAAAAGTGACCTTCATTTAAGGCTCTGTAAATGCCATTAAATTAACTGCCTGCTAGCAACAGCTATTAAAAAAATCTATCCAGAGCAACCAAATGTCTTTACCTCTCCAAGTTAAATTTTAAATAAGCATTACTTCTTTATAGGTAGCAACACACATTTAAAAAGAAAATCTTCTTCAAGGTAACCGCATGCTTAACAGCATTAATAACTTACCATAAATAAGATATTTTATTGTGAGTCTTTTATCAGGTTGTGCAGCAATAAGCTTATAAACAAGGGAACAAGTGTAAACTCCACTCAGGTCAGATCTGAAGTGTCCAAATATTAAAGTTCCCGTTGGTGATATTTGCACACTGCTATTTTCTGGTAAAATGTAATGAAATAATGTTAGCAGTCAGTATGAGAAGATGCAGTTCTCCCACATGGTCTGCGTGTGGGTTACAAGATGACATTTGATGAACACTTTCCTAACTTGAAGACAGGGACAACATGCCTGAGGATTTCTTAAATAGCAGCTTATCTTGGTAGCTGTCATAGGAATCACTAGATTAGCACAGATTATAACAGACCTGAAGGTAAAATATTCACTTGGATAAAATATTTCTAGAACAGATTATTTTGCTTTTTGGAGCCCAAGAAAAAAAATCTTTTTAATATTCTAAGTACTTTAGGCCTTTTATCTATGGTATGGAATCAAAGACACTTAGTGTGATATGAAAAGCATGTCTTTTTTGACTAAAAAAGTGAATCCTAAGGACATGAGATTTATATTGAACACATTTTAGGGCCCTTACTTTAGATCAGTCCTAATCTGGTTTTACAGACAGAACATGTCTTCTCTCTCAAAGCTAACCTTTCCAATTACCTTTATTCAAAAGGCATTCAGTTTCTGCACCCAGCAACCAGTCCATGATCCAAATAAAATGTGGTAAGTGAGCAACATTAAGCAATTCACTTCAAAGCCACACTCCTATTCAATCTAACAAATTACTGTTACTCTGGATGCATGCTGGTTTTCCTGCTTTACAAATTTAAGAAAGATATTAACAAAAAGTAACTTGACCAAGGTCCTTCTTTTCACACACCTGGCAGGAGGGTGTGGTACGACTTTGTTCCTCAAGAATCAATTTAAACATTTAATCAACTTAGTTTTGTCTTATATGTAACTGTGTTTATAAAGATGATGATTCAAGTGCTGGTTAAAAAAAAACAAACAAACTACTACTAAAAAGACTGAAAGTATAAATTCTCTTACAAGAAATGTTGGGGATTCCATAAAAACTTAGGTTCTCACATTAATGGGACACTGTCATATTTAGTAGGACAAAGAGCTTTTTAATCCGATGACAAACAGGTTGCTGAGTCTATAAACTAGGATGTCATTTGCTACCGAATGCTGAAATAGCCAGCAGATTAATACTGTAAGAAAATATTTCAGAATGTAGTTTGGATCTCTGGCATATTCAACTGGAGCGCCTTTAAGACGTATCACAACGTCTTATTTTTGCTGCATCTACAAAATCCATTAGTAAATTTCAAAGATGACAAAGAAGTCCAGAAAAGACAAAGCCTGGACGTCCAGTGAAGAGATGTGATCACAAAGAATTTTTTTGAAAATGCATCCCTAGAAATAGGAAAGTTAAGCAGTTCTTCTAATGGATTAAGTCACTGGTTTTATTTTAGAATTTTGTCCTACTTTGAACAACGAATATTTCTATAAAAGAAAGGAACAGAACTTTACAACAGTAGTCATTAACTCTTTTAATGGTACATCTGTCTGTAAAGAATCTCCATACACATCAAAATCAAAATATTGTTTTACTTTTCTTCTTAGCATTACAAACAAAACTACACAAACGTCTCTTGCTGTGTGGGATTATCTGGATGCATAGTGCCTACTCATGTGAGTTTGGATTCACATGAAAAAAAGACAATTACCTTTAAACGAAACTTGAAAAACAATTGATTTATGCACTCTCTTCTCAAATCTAGTATTTTTTCAATGTTACTCTGCTGGAACAAGATAAGTAAGATGAGTTTGGATTTCATGTCACATTCTGTGATACAAATGACATGGTATGATTTAATGCACTTCTCTTACACAAGAGGCATTTCATATACATGATGGACAAGGGATGTGATCAAGTTCAGAGTTTCCTTGTGGTCAACATAAAATAGCATGATACGAAATAAAAGAGAAGTTATTTTTGTTCTATGGGAGGAAGTTAGATTATTTTCCAGGCTCCATGAGTAAGTTAGGTGGCAGTAACTTTCCTATACTTACTTATTCTTGGGTTCCACCAAAGTAAAACAAACTTATTCCAATGTTTGCATTAGCAAAAAGAATGAGATACTTTCTTATATTTTCTGTTCTATTTAACTATTTCTATTTAAACACCCTCCAAAATTCTTTTTTTTTATGCAGTGAAACTTTAGGATGCAGAACATAAAACGCAATTTTTCTGTTTAAAGTGTGTTTTGAAATACTCTTATTCTCAGTCGTCTGACATTTCAAAACTTCAAAGTATAATTTCCAGATCTTAACACAAAAGAGTCACTCTGCTAACTGAAGAAAAATAGTAAATTTTAAAACTGTAACGATTTAAAAATAAATTTTGTGCAGTATTTTGTTTTTCATTATTCTTTCAACAACGCATACGTGGATTAGAACTATTTGTGAACAAAGATTCGAGAAACAGACTTGCTTGTTAATGACTACAAAAAGCAGAGCATTTACTGCTCCTTGTAAATTTTTTTTGTAGTCGTGACGTTCTGTGTATATATTTTGACAAATTTGGTGGGCACAATACACCTGTTTATTGTGAGTGCCAAAGGGTGGTTCGCCTGAAAGATAATTTGATTTTTCTATCACAGTTCGTACATTCACTTTGAAATGTTTCAAGAAGCAGCATTTTCTTACTCTTCCCATGACTTGATTCATAATTCTACATTCCCACTAATAGGATTATTTTATTTTATATGAACACACTGAGGTAAATGTTTATGAATGCTAATTTCCTTCCAGTATGGTGATTTACTATGATAGAGATTAGAGACTAACTGGACACAGAAGCCCATGTGATTTTTACCACTTAGAGGGAATTAACTCCTTATGAAAGAAGGCCTGGCAACAAAAAATTCTGTCACACAAAAAACAATTCATAAACTAGAAACTTAAGAGTTTGTTTATACTTGAGTTGAAAGAAAAGCTCTGTCGGGAAAACACATTTTCCTCTCTTTTGGAAATGGTTTTTGCCCTTCTGCTGCTGAGTCTAGCGTACCTAAAGTTTCCAAAGAACCGAGAATCCCTGCCACCCTAGCTTTTTGCTAGTCATCCAAGTCTGGCACAGCAACTTGAGATATTACTGAAGCAGTCTTCAGGAAAAGATTTAAACCTGTCAGATGAAAGTCTGAGGTCTCCATGCTTTTCTCTTCTGCATAGTTAACACTGTCAAAACTGTCATCTGGGTACGCAGAAGCCAGAGGACTGAAAAGGACAATTTTTGTTAATTGTGAATCAGGAGGCTGCTTTCTGTCTGATCACATTAAGCTCAGGACATATACACATGACAATATATCTGATAATGTGTTTGTCGTGCATCACAGACTGGGCATCAAAATATATCATTTACAATGCAGGACACACAGCTAACCACTACATATTCATTTCAAGAGAGATTAACATTTTCATGCAAAGTGACAGAGCCCACAAGCTTAAGTATAAGCAAAAACATCTTTAACTGCAAGGCAATGAATGCTATAAATTCATCCTCGAGGTTAAGCCTGTTATCAGTTTGAAAGCAAAACCAGTGCAGTGTCAGATGCTATAGAAACTTGAAATGCTCTACTATGAATGCTGGCATGTAGCGGATTAAGAATGAAGAATCACTATGATATCAACGGTACTTCAGATCACACAAAGGAAAAGCTGCTTGAAAATACACAAACACCAAGGACAGAGGTCTGACAGACACCAGTATAGATTAAGAAGAAAGCAAACAGAATTTAGTGACGCTGCCATTATAAAACGGTGAATACTTACTAACCTAAACTATGAACTAAATTAAGAGATTAAACAGGTTTAAAATTAATCACAGTGTACTTTAAAAAAAAAGGTACCAAAATTACATTAAAGAGTAAATGGGACATATACAGAGGGAAATAAAAACAGAACTTAGGTTCCCTGCTCACACTTGGAAAGATGTTGCTCATGAGCAGGTCATGATCTCTAAGAAATCTTTCTCATTATGTGGGAATTGTAAAAAATGTTCAAGTAGCCCAACACATTTAACAAAGAAACAGTGATATGTAGCTTTCCTACCATACCAGCAGCTTAGGACAATGGTTTCATCACAAGCATCTTTATGAAAAATGGTAGCCTTAAACAAGTCATGAAGAGATTAGTCAGAAACTGACCTTGGCAATGGATGTGAAGAGCCAACATAGACACATTCGGTAGAAGAGCAACAGAAATGTCAGGCCAAGGATGAAGGGAGCTGAATGACAGCGACAAAGAACATGGAAACCATGAGGTAGTAAACATTCTTTGTTTCAGTCTTTCCTGGCAAGGGCTGCCTTCCAGCTTTGTCCCAGAGTCCACCAGAGCTTACGGGGGATACTACAGGAAATTAGAAGTATGATATTAGGGAGTTACTGAAGTGATCTGGACATACACAGGTTAATAGGCCAGAATGAGATTGTCTGTTTTGATGGCTATGTGGCCCCAATGGTCAGAAAGAGGCAAATAACACATCCATTTTCAAAACAGGGAATCCACAAGTCAGCCATTCTCACCTTAAACCCTTCAAAGAAGGAAGTAACAGAAGCCATTTCAAGGCCCATGAATGCCAAAACTGTGATTATGAATAGGCAATGTAGATGGAAAATTGGATGGATCTCCATTTAGGAGATTGCTTGATTGTTCAAATTGTAACTAGCAGCGTATCTGAGGGACTTTCCTCAGGGCTGCTACAAGCACCAGCACTGATTAGAATCTTTACCACTGACCTACATTACAGGACAGGATGCCTTCTTGTCAAGTATGCAAAAAAAATCAAATGTCGTAAGTGCACTTGGAACAGAGTAAGAGTAGCATATACAGTTGCAATGTACAGTTGCAGACAAGATTTTTGGTAGCAGCCCTGCAAAAAAAAAGGCCTAGGAGTCCAAGTGGACCCTGCACATGACTCAGAAGCACACTTTTGCAACAGTGAAGGCTAAGTGCATGCTGGGATGTATCAACAATAATACAGCCAGCAGTTTAGTGATTATTTTCAGTACTCATTTTGGCACTACAGCACTCCTCGGTACAAGACAGATGCTAACAAACTGAAGTGAGTAAAGCAGGAAGCCTATAAGATGATTAGGGAGTTGGAGCACAGGATAAGAGGCAATGGAAACTAGGATGTGTATCCCAGAGAAATCTAGGGAAGGAACTGCAGTGCTTCACTACCTAGGGGGATTTACAGGAAAGAATAAGCCAGACCCTTTACGAGATACATCACAAAAAGATAAGCAGCAATAACAAAAAACTGCGATAAGGTAAATATTGTCTGAAAATGAGAAATAAAATGGAAGACTTTCCAGAGAAAGGACAGAAAATCTCCATGGATAGAGATTCTCCAAACTCCAGAGGTCAAAGCCATATGCAACTTCATGTCTGAAGGTAGCCTGTCATTGAGCAGGAGGTTGGGCTAGATCACACTGCCTATGACTCTATTACTCTATCCTTATAGAACAGTCCCAGCTGTTTCTCAGTGCAGCAAAGAATGTCACCTTCAGCCTCTCTTGCTTTCATTACACCTTGCCTTGTCTAGTACTCTTTAGAGATGGCACCATTTTCTACAGAGATCTCCAGTGTTTTATTCTGGTTATCCTGAATTTTTATCCTAAAACTTGAAAGTTTATCATTTGTATGTATGTTGTTTATCATTTATATAATATACATACAAACATAGAGTCTTCTCAATTCTCCTCCATTCACAGTTCTATCTTTCTAGCTATCATGATTCCTTTTAGGGGGAGGAGGAGGAGAAGAGAGAGTGTAGAGGGCCATGTAAGAAAATAAATTCTTACCTGAAGAAAGATAACCACCTGGTCCATTCCACCGGAATACTGGATCAATCAATTCTGAGTTTCGTAGGTGATTTGTGACACATAGAATATGTGGACTGCTGTGATCCAGCTTGACATAAACTTTCACTGAAAAAAGTTTATTATTAGCATTAAATACTTATCACTGTGAGATATATAATGATACCAGTGAGATATATAATGTTAAGACAGTAGTAAATGTAATTTTATTGTGTACGGTTTGTTTTATTTCCCTTCCTAATGACATTCTGCAAACCATTTGTGTTCTTCAGAAGCATGAGATGCTAGATATTTATACTCTAGAGTACTCCAAACATGAATATAGCATGCTATCCTAATGCTGTTGAAAAGGCACAACTAGTATAAACACTACAACCACAACATTTGTGGTCTAGAGAATCTGACTTAATAAGTGGAATTAAATCAAATATACAAATTACCATTTATTTTACCATGCCATTCAGATTCCCTGCAGGGAGAAAACTGTTTAGATATTTGATATGGGAAGGAATTAACATTTAGAAAAACAGTTTTCACTTTTCCATTATATCAAGTAGTAGTAATGGCACCAGTTTTCTCTCCCCTTCAAGCACGATTGTTTCCTGTCATTAAAACATGAAAAACCTCTTAACATCACAGCACAATATTAGACTGCTTAAACAAAATACAGACATCAATATTAACATTTGATACAGAAAAATACATTTAGAATTTTGATAGTCTCAAGAACAGGAAGAATGTCCATCCCAGCTAATAAGCTTGTTACTGTGGCTTGTAACACAGGAAACAGAAATGTGTATCTTTTAACTGTACAGCAGAATATCATGGAAATAAACATTATTTGCAGGTGTTACTTCAGAATTTTAACCCAGAAAAGGGTGGGGGGAGGACGACATGTCCCAGTCTTTCTAATCAGAAATGCCTTGCGTCATATAACACCTTTTATTATTTTTCACCTTGCAAAGGCATGCTTTCATTTGTTTATGACGTTAGTTCAGGGTGAGAAGAGCAGCATGATACAAGGAACAAGTGGGAAATTAAAGGATTATGCTTCAAGTGGAATGCACAAAGGGGAAAAAAAAACTACACAGGTTTCTGAGCTCATCTCCATTTGCATTGAATGAAAACAAGTGTTTTCAAAGTTTTAACCACGAATCTGAAAGTGTATCTTTCATTTTACAGTAGAGCACAATACTCATGAAGCAACTCTATGACCTCAAGTTGTATTCTGAATATGAGGTAAAATGCCAGAGAGGTTTGCAAAAAGGAATATTTATCTAAAGGAATCTCAGTGCTAAATGCCCAATTATAAGTCTGTTTGTTTCCCATGGCTGACAAAAGCTATTCTGTATGCACAAACTGCTTTTTGGTTATTTTAGTATGGAACAGTCTGAAAAACGACTTGTACTAACTTCCACATGTTAGTCAAGTCTGGAAAAATATCGAGCAAAGCTGAACGCGCATCTTTCTAGAACAGAACTTTATTTTGTCTCAGTTTTGTTCTCCTTTCTTACTCAGTAGCAGCCCTGCTGAAACATGTATGTTACTATTCTCAGGGTAGAAAAAAGAAAAGAATTGCATTTTGCACTGACTTTAGTTTAATGCTTCTAGGTATGCTATTAGTAAAGCTGAAAGTGTAAACACAGATGGAGAAAACTAGGGGGAGGTGTATTATCAAAACCAAGTACGCAATGTGCATTAAAGAGATGGCAACATAAGTAAGCATATGGCAATGAGGAACAACCTGTTCTTTAATCTTCAGATTTTTTAACAATTGTTTTATTTATTAAGAAAGTGACTGTATTATGTAGATACACGTGATGTATTAAGCAATTAACTCTTAACATTTCTTAATTTTTATTGTAGAATATAGCATAAGACTCAGGTTCTGCATACACAGAAAGTAAAAAGCAGCAGGAATATCTACAATGGGATAAAGCAGTATTTTGAGGCAAAGGTCTTTCAGCCAGAATGATGAGTACAAAGAATGCTGTTGTTTTTAGAACAATTCTGGAAAATAATTGTCTTTGCTTTATAAAAATTGCAAGAATAAAAAAAAAATCAGTGGTAGGAATATGTGCTTTTGTGGCCTACTAAGTCATAGTAACATAGGTAAGTCAGTACAGAATTGTAATTAATTAAGGCATTTTAAATAATTAAACAACAAGGAATATGATGGAGAAGGGCACTTTTGTGGTAGAAGCGTTTACATTATGTTTAAAGAGCAATACCTGGAAATAAGATGGATCCCACTATTTTTAAGCTATTGCTTCCTGACTCTGCACTTCCTGAGTACTGAACTGTTAAAAGACAAAACAATTGCATCAACACAACTATTGCATTTCTCTGAAAAAGCAAACAGCATGGTTCAGGTCAATGCACACCCTTTAGGGACTTGCACTTCAACAGGTATTAACTTTGTCTAATGTCTTACACAGGGCGCGTTTCTCATTTTCAGCTTTAAATATATTTCTAATTTTTACAGAAGAACCGTCACATTTTATATGAAGGCTCTCTATAATGAGGGTAATGGGATTAGATACCACCCAAAAGGAGGATAAAACTTAGCTACATTGTTATGATACACTCAGTCTGGATGTCAGTCAATGTGTGTACTGACCACTAACAAGGTAACAAACATAGTTTCTGTTATTATTGTGATTTTCTTAATTTCCTCCATGAAATTAATACAAGCTCTTAATTGCTTTAATTTGGTTGGTTTTATTTGCATCTTCGACATTAAATAGAGATTTAAAAGACCTTTCATAACAATTGAAAAGCTTTGTAAGACACGCAAGACTTCTGAAAGAAAACTCAATAACCTGCTAGTGTGCAGTACCAGGTGGGCATTCTAGCACAAGTCAAATCTGAGTATCTTCTACAGATATTCCAGATATGCTGCAGAAAGCCAGCAGAAAGAGAACACTGGCTAAACAGATCTCTCAGTATTTTGTGTTCTTTGTCTCCACCTCCTGTTTAGAAAGAACATGGGTTACTGAGAGTTAAGTTCCTTAGGGGAATCTGGGAAAGCGAGTAAATATCAGACGAATATAAAGTCTTGAACACAAAAGATGGCAATAAAATACTGTGCATATAATTAGTAGCAATAATGGGCTTAATAGTTATGTGGCACCAGTACTGTGCTTGTTGCTAACTTAGATTCAATAGATACCAAGTAAAGCCAGCAGCAGATACGCTAGTAAATTCATTTCCCATTGCGGCATTTGTTGGTACACAAGAAAGACTGGGTCAACTCCCAGCTTCGCTTTGATTTACCTTGATTAAAACAATAATGGGAATTCACCAATTCACCACATCTATTATGAAGCTGGTAACTGTACTCCCTTACCATACATTGTTGAAATGGAAAACAGAAGTCAGACTCTCCAGCAATCAGGACAAGATAACCAACGTAAGTTAAAAGAACTGCCTATTTTGCCATTTGAGGATACAAGCAAACTATTCTATTCAAAATACTTATGGAACAGAAAAAGCAAATTGAAAGAAAATAACAAGTAGAATCATAGAATCATATATGATGGATTTCTGCAGATAACAGTTTAATTTACTTCATAACATTACTTCACCAAGTAGCAATTCACGACTTTTTTTTTTTTTTAAGGAGTAAAAACTTTTCAAACAACTTAATTTTCCCCCAAGACCTCCTAGAAGGATTGGAGGATTTCAGTTATAAAACAAAACAGATTTGAAATTCTAATTGGAATATTTATATTGTCTTCCAGAACTCTACTGCACTGGAGCAGATATACATAGCTCTTCACTGGAAACAGTGATTTTTTACAATAATAACTTAAACCCAAAGATGGAGCTCTTGCACTGCTTACACAAAACAAATTAGAAGAAGTTCAAATAATGTAGTTACTGAAGGAAGACAGTGTAAAAAACTACTGAAATTACTGTTTTGGCATCATTAAGGACATCACATTTGCCTGCTCTGTCATGCGCATACACTTCATTTGCGTGGCAGTCATTTCAGTCAGTAAGTGCTTCTGTCCACATATGAACCTGACCTCAATATGCTCTTTCCCTCACTTCCTATACTGACTTGAAAATTTTTTTGGAAGTCTTTTTTCACGTTTCCTACTTGAATTCCTATCCTTTCCTCCTAATCACTTTAAATGGCTCTTCCCCAGGCAGTCTCTAGCACAAATGATCTTCTCATTTTCACTCACCAGTTTAAGAGTGCATACGATCAGTTTAAACAGATTCTTATCACAGAAAAAGTATTACGAGGTCATTCCAAAGAAAATGTAGCAAAAACACAATCAAGATAGGACAAAATAAGAGCTTAAACTGTATTTTAAGGTCATTAAAGATGCTATTCCATCTCCTCAAATTGTAACAGCACTTAAAAAGCAATGGGAAAAGCTAAGATTCATTCATTTTTTGAGAAAAATAAAGGTGATCTCTTTATTAATTCTCCACATAAGCTTTTTAAGCAGCCCAATGCACAGGGTGTGATTCTTCCTCGTATTGCATTCCTTACAGGCATAACAAAAGCAGATGAATATAGATGAAGAAAACTAGTTTTGTGTCACTGTCAGAAAAAGAGAAGTCAAGTCATTCATCTCCAAGGCTGAGGAAAACTTCCCAGCTGCCTGAAGAGCCATGCAAAGAAAATTGTTTATTACTGGAATTCAAAGGAATTCATTTCCCTGTCTACAGTGATACATACGGTATCTGTTACCTGAGTATCAGATCTGCATGTTATTCATCAATGGACTCTGAAATCCTCTGGAGTTAAACTCAACAGCCTTCCTTCTAACTTACACCACAGTTTCTGTGGGGAGTTCAGTTTAAGTATAAAATGCTAACTCTCTGTGTTCTTGCACTGAAAGTCTATTTGGCTGAACTATAAATTCTACCTAAGAGAAAAAGTAATCAAAGTAAGAGAGAGATGACATCCATGTATTTCTAAGGAGTTTTGTCTGCAAAGGAAAAGTCTCAACACCAGATCAGAAGCAGCAAATGGATTGTACTTGCACATATACAAAGCTCCCCTGCTCCTCCCTGTTCCATGGGGCATTACAACAGTGCCACATAAAGGGGTCTGTTCTCACTCCCTGCCCAAAGGAAGAATCTGGTTAGGTTAATAATGACTACAGGAGTAGTGAGTTGAAAGGGAATGCTACTCTGCAGCTCTAAGATTCACATGAAGTAATTCAACCATTTCATATAATACTTTATTCTGACTGTTGCAGTCTTAAAATGAACGCTATGGTAGCAAAATTAGTCATCTTCAGAATAGCTAATCAGAAAATGATATTTGTCTGAAAAGTGCAATGGCAGGAAGTAGGGTTTAAAATAAGACTTAACTAATTAAACAATGTATTAATGAGCAAAATGCTGTACTGCTAGAATGTGCAATTGGCATAGTTTCAATTCATTTATAAATGAAACTTATAAAATTACAGAGATTTAAGTTATGGTGACTGCTGAATTTTTTTAAAAGTAATTTTGTTTGGAAGTATTTTTTGTAAAGTGATTTCCATACCAAAAGACAATATAAACAACAATACTACTTATCTTTACCCAATGGTGCTAATAGACAAGTGCTTTCCGATATCCAAGCATTTTAATGACAGCTGGCATTTCCAAGCTGCCTATTGATGGAAAGTGCTCTTTAAAGAAAACTACACAAACCCCAAATGCAAGCACTAGTAAACAAAATGAGAAAACGTTCATATTTTTTACATCGATCTGAATCCAGAGTGTAACAATAACATCTCAGTGACACAAAATTAAAATTAATGTCTTTTTTGGAATTGATAATGTCTATTCTGACTATTAAAATCTAGGATAGAAGCAATAGTATAACAGCAATGCTCCAGTGAATAAATACTAGAATGCTGCTAACGATGCGTTTTTGATACTGTTTTTTTTTTGTCGGAGCAGAACTTCACCACTAATCTTGCTCATGGAAAAGTCCTCAGAAAGGAATTTGTGAAACTTGGCCATAAGCAGATTGGCACATAAAAAGATCTGGCACCTAAACACACTGATGCCCAAAATGAATAATCTAGTTTAGTATTACCAGAAAGCCCAAAGCGACTTGTTACGTTCAGACTTCAAAACCCCACAAAGGACCAGGCTACCCAGACAGCTTTGGTGTGGTGTGGAGACACTCAAAACCTGCCTGGACACATCCCTGTAGGGAACCTGCTTTAGCAGAGGGTGAACTCGCTGATGTGCAGAGGTCCCTTCCAACCCTGCCGGTCTGTGACTTCAAGGCAATCCCAGTTTTAGCATCGAGGCTGTACAATCAAATTTCCCAATAGATGTCAGCTGACAGCTGCGATCACACGCGCTGGATAGCAGATCAGCAGAACCGCTCCCGACAAGTGCAATCTTGGTGTCCTACCGCAGAACTACCCACGTTCTTCAGAGCTGATGACAGACATGCGGCTCTCAGCTCGGTCCCCAAGCCGCCAGCTGCCTCACCAAGGAGAAAGACCTCTCCCCTCACAACTCACTGTTCGCTTTTGAGGAAAATAACCCTTTAGCTTTCCTACGTCTACCGGTGGGTGTAGATGGGCTGTGAGATTTTGTCACCGTACGGTGAAGGCGCACGTACCTGCCTGGACCGCCTGCAGCAGGACGATGAGGAGGCCGAGCAGCAGGAGGTTCTGCCCGCACATGACGGCGGCCGTTGCCCGGGGGCGGCCACGCGTCCCTCCGCCGGCCGCGCTCTGAGTTGCCACCGCCCGACGTACCGCTGCTCGGCAGCCGTTAGCGATCCCCGCCGGGCACCCGGCGGCCGGGTTGCGCGCTGGACGACCCGCCGCGGGGAAATCTGCAGAGGGGCTTTCCCGGCCGCAGAGCGGAGCACCTCTACGCTCCGGCGAGAGAAAGCGTGGTGCTTTCACATCCTCAGAGCCCGGGGAAACATGTGCCGCGCCGGCAGCTCCAGCTAAGAGCGTCCCGCTGCCGGGCGGTAAGCGCTTAATCTCGCTCCATCGTTGTCCCTTAAGAAATACGTAAACAAACAAACAAATAAACAAAAGCGAGGAAGTTCCCGTAGCAAAAGTGAACTGTGCATCAGTGTCATGAGAGGTACTGCCTGCTTCTCATTGTGCTGCTTCATAAAGTGCCTGGAATCCCAGTGTGCTGGCATGCTTCTGTGGTATATTTTTAACTTGTATAGGTTAGGTAAGGCAGTGTATGAAAGAATAGGGGAGGGGGAAAATGAGCTGCCCAGGAAGCAAGCAAAGTCTGACAGGAAAAATTAACTACTGGAAAAATGTGGCTGCTGTGCTGGAGATGAAAAATAGCTGCTTACATCAAAGAAAGACTGCTCCACAGAACAGTGGCACTGAAAGACGTGGTGGTGGTGGTTGGACTGGGTGGTCTTAGAGGTCTTTTCAACCTTAATGATTCTGTGAACCTTACACCCTTAAGAGTACCACCACAGACACATGACCAGCTCCTCTGTGTGCTTCCTTCTATCACAGACCACTTCTGAAAACTGACAGCAGAAACCACTCAACCTTTGTTGGCTTAGTTGGCAAATTTGCTTCCCAGAATAATTTAGACAGAATCTCTGCCAACAAAATCTAGGATAAAGCTTTACTTGCATTTCAGTCTGTGAAATGAAGGCAACAACACAGGACTCATCCTTGGAATGGCATCCATGTTGTGCCTTACCTGAGTCCCACAGCAAACAACTCCAAAGGAGAACCACCTTAATCCTGCATTATGGAACATAACGTTTTATTATCTAAACCTTCTATTATATACATTAGCCCCATGTCTGATCTCGTGTTAGTCAAGAGCAACTTAGGAATTCAGGGAAGTTACGTCTTTGTGACAGTGACATAAGTGAATTAATGTTGACAGAGCCATGGAGTAAAGGTCCTACAACATCAGTTATATAATAAATGTAGTTTATTTTTTTCTGAAGTGTTGGACCTTTGCAGATGGCACTGAATTCATGCAGAATCCCAGTATAATTCAGACTGCTTTTTTTTCCTAGATTGCTAAATGAAGACAATAGGATTTGGAATTAGGAAATGAGTGCAACATATTCTGACCTGCGACATTAGTAGATTTGCCAAACAATAAAACAAATGGCAAAGCTACAGAATTAAGTTGTGTAGGATGCTGTAATGTCTATGGGATTTATTTTTTTCCAAGTAATAATTCTTCAGTTTTATGAATTTTTATTTTTCTATGATTGTGTTTGATAAATTTTAAGTCAGTGTTTCAGTTTATTTTCAGATTTGTTCTCTAGATATAAAAAAAAATATTTTAAAATGAACCAATGAAAATACCAGATAACCCTTAGTAAAATTGAAAAGATCTTAATTTTGCCTCTTGTAGGTAAATAAGTAATTGGCAGTGTTATTTCAAGTTGTTATCTGCATCTTTGTGAAGGGTGAGGTTACTGTGGTACATGTGAACCGTATTTCACACTAGGAGACATTTCATTGTGAAGTAGCTTCCGTAGTCACCAAGCAACAAAAAGGCTCACTGTTAATTCAGCAGCTCCATTCTTTTTGCACCTTTTTGATAAATGCCCTTCTCAGGAAGGAATTCACCAGTTGAGCCACTGCTTTGCTCTTTATGAATTCTTTGTACTGATGTTCTGGAAGATGACCCTTAGTTTTACTGTGGTTTTCTGGCTAAGACTTCAGGAACTTGAAGAAACAGGAGAAAGGGGACTCTTTTGAATGTGCTGCTACGTAAGAGAAATAGAAGAGAATGGCCATGGTTTCTCATGGAGCTGAAAGGCGGGCTGCCATGTCAATTGAACCAATTCACAGGATGCATCACCAACAGTATCAAAATCTATTGAAGAAGATGTGCATGCCATTTATGAAAGGTCCTGAGAACAGACATGACTTTGCCAGCTTTGAAGAGAAAGACAGCATTTCTTTCCTTAAATTCCATCCAGACACCCCTCCGTTTGGGCCGAATTACCCCTTATTCCCACACCGAGATGATGTGCCTTTAGTAGATCCCTGCTCAGGCTTTGTAAGTGCAGGAAGGGATGCTGAGCTGCAGCCCAGTGCTGGAAAAGTTATTGAGTCCCTGGTGGACTACAGTGATGTGAAACCTCACCAGCGGGTCCCTACAGCAGGAAAGGGGGTGCGGACTGCTCACAGGAGGCATATGATCCTCCTAGAGGAAACCAGTCAGGACCGACGGTGGAATTCCAGGGCTGTGCCAGCTGCTTTGATCAGGGCAAAACTCAGAGGTAAAGCAAGCTACTATTTTTATTTCTTAATCACTAAAGAAAAATCGTTGATGTTTAATAAATAGAGTTTTTTTTTTTTTTTTGTGAACACCATCCCCCAAGGTTCTAAAGGAGCAACCATATAAAATATATTTGTGCTGGATACTTGAGATATTTGAACTGAACGTAATCACTGCTGTAGAACGCGTGAGTCACAGTCCTTGCTGCAGCAAAGTGGTACAAGTCAGCAAATTCTAATAAGCATTAAAAAAAGAAGAAAGTAAAGAAAAATCTTTGAAATAAATAACATTTTAAACAATGTATTTAAATTGTGAAGTTATATATGATAGTTGAAGGGAGCATCTGTTTTAACATAGCCTGAAATAACAAATAAATGCTAAGTGTCAGGAAATCCCCTGAATATTTCTGTGTCTTTTAGCATTTCCTGAAAAATAGCTGTGCAGAGTATTTAAGACATTTGTCCAATATCTAGTTGACGGGAGAACAGAAATTCTTCAAGACTGCCATCATATCTTTTTTCGATTACATATTACCTTCCTAATGTACTTCAATGTGTTACATCTGAAGTTAGTTCTGTTAATTTCACATTAATTGCAGCATCAAAACTAAAATTTACTCCTCATAATGGCAAAGTTTCAAAACCATAGTCTGTTGATATTTCTGGAGAGAATGAATCCAGGGCTTCTACGGTCAGACATTATTAGTGGTAAGCAGTGTGGTTGAACTGTTCTAAAGATTAAGCCAATTCCCAGAGTTTTCACAGAGAAATGCTCATCTCAACCAGAAAAATAAATGAATAAATAGATAAATAAATAGATAAATAAATAATGAGAACTCAGACAACACACTAAAGTCTCATAGATAAAAAGAGCATCACTCAGAACAAGATAAAGAAATGTAAATAAGCTATTTGCTCCATTTTACCATACAGAGATAGTATGCCATCTTTACAGTTTACTGTGCTTTATCCATGTTATTGTCACCATGAAGTCTCTACATACAATATATTCCAGTTGTTTTTGGCTCCTTGTTTCTGTCTTAGAAATTTTCACTTTAAATCCTTTTAAGCCTACTGATGTCATGTAATGGAAGCCAAAAGAACCCAAGAAACCAGAGAGTAAAATAATAAGACCTCATAATTTTCTTTTTTTTTTCTTTCTCATTCCAAATTATTTTTGCTATTTGCTCTCAGTGGTCTACTTAAATTAGATCTAAGAAATCAATCAGAAGTGATTAGCTTTTTCCACAAGCCTATGGAGAAGCAAAAGGAAGGAGGAAGTATGATAATCTATCTGACCATTAATTTTTCCAACACAAAGAAAAGCAAACAGAGACAGAGATAGAAATACTGTGACGGATTAGACACTCTTGAAATGAACTCAGACAAAAACTGAAACCATATGTCATCAAATCAGTTATCTGTTTTACAGTTAAGAAAGTGGTCCAGAATGGAGAGTAGTTCCATAAGTCAGATAGAAATTGCCTGGTGACTTCCTGTTGATTTACCTTTGGGTGAAGTTCACTGTTAGTGTGAAATACCAACTTCAATGAAACTATCTGCATAAGTTTAACTTAACTTGTGCACAAAATCTTGAAACAGAGTCCAGTATAAATTTATTTGAGATAGCTCTGCAAGTGTTCTTCCAAACCTAGTATTCATTTCCAGGTTTTCCTGTGATGCTGAATGTTGATTACAGACGTGTAAATATAGATTAATAAAAGAAAAAAAAAGTAGTTGAGCTTTAAGATGCTGTTTTCAATGCATAAGCAAATTCCAGATTTCAGCTATTCAAGTCAGAGGCCAACTAGCAACCCACAGGCACATGATGCTTTGAAAGTGCTAATCTTTCTAGACATCAGTCCTGAGACATGATTCCCCAGCATTGTTGTTTGGGGAAGTTGTGCTAAAAGAGAGATCAGTCAGGCATTTTGCAAGCAAATTCTGCACTGTTTATCCACTGTGCTGGTGATGAGTGGAAAAAAAAAAGCAGATACAGAAGCAGTCTTTGAGATGTATGAGTTGAGGTATTTAGAAACATCTCCAGTGTCCAGGAGGTCTTCTTTTGTGAGAAAGTGTACAGCTATATTACTTTGGCAATCAACACTGGTAACTTTAAATGTCCCCACACAGCCTTTTGCAACTACTGGGAAAATCAAGTTAATGGAGCAGTGAAGCTCTGTGATACCAAAGCATGGTGAGAAGCTGGCAAAGGAGATTGTTTTATGACTTCAGAATCTAGCAGAGAAGGAAGATTGCTTTAGAACTATTCTTCATGGGTGTTTTGCTTTGTGTAAGGAAGATGCTTGGTGCTGCAAGACAGAGTCTTTAAGTTGACTGTTTCCCTGTAGATTCCCCTTCCATAACTCACATGGCAACTGAATTTGCCCTTTTTCTGCAGTTTCAAATTCCTTTGCACATTCAGGATTTGATCCTACAGGTGTATTTGTAAATGCAAGCCTGACAATGAAGTCATAACTGTAATTATTATTCTATTTGGTGTGGGTTAACTGTTTGGTGTGGGTGTTCTGTTGCATGAATAAATGCTGAGGTTTCGCTAAGGGTGTAATACTTATCATCTCTGCAATTATATATTTCACTGTGCACTCATTTTTCACGTGCCCCATAGCAGAGAGGTTTGTTGATTTAACAAATTTGTTCTTTTGTTCTCAAGAATGTACAGTATGTGTATACAAAAATGTGTTTTTGTGGACATTTGTAATTCCTTTCAGAGTAGTATCAGTTAGCTCAACACTTATTCATTGATTCTAGTGAAAAACCATGAGTTTTTTCCATCCAGTTTAAAACAGTAAGGATTGCTGCAAATTGATTAACACAATAGGAACCCCCTTCTTTCAGGTCACAAAACTCCAGCGAAAGGTCTTCATGTTCTACCTGATCAACACCATAATTTTGCATTTTTTATGGATCCCCATCTCAAGGCAAGTGTCCCATTATTTTGTTATAATAATGGAAAACATATTTAAATTATTTAATTTCTAACTCTGCTTTCAATTTAAAATGCTTTTTGCAGTGATTTTGATAATGTAGTGAAATAGAGCTTTTTCATTTCTTCATCTGATTATAGTAAATAAGTGCATGTAGCATGATTTAACAGTGCTCTTTGCTCCAATACTATTTTTGTACTGTTTCCCTGGTTAAAGCATTTAGACTGTAAGGCATGACTGATACCACTTATGTCATATGTATCTAAATATGACAGACTTAGAGCCAAAATAGCAAAATATAGAAAGAATCAGGAGTTGGACTCAGTGATCTTTATGAGTCCTTTCTTCTAACTCAATGTGTTCTATGAGTCTGTGATATAAAAACTACAATTGAAATTATATTGCTATATTTAAAATTAGGCCAGCCCATATTTGATATATATAGTACTTAGAATCATAGAATCAATAGAATCCTTAGAGTTGGAAGGGACCTTTAAAGGTCATAAAGTCAGGCTGCTCGGAGTGCGATCTGGCCTTGCCTTGAATGTCTCCCATCTTGAATGGATGGGTCTTCCATTGCTTCTCTGGGCTACCTGTTCCAGTGCCTCACCAGTGTCTCTGTAAAAGACTTTTTCCTTACATCCAATCTAAATCTACCTTCTTTAATTTTGAAACAATTTCCCCTTGTTCCATCACCACAGACTCTGCTAAAGACCCTGTCCCTTTCTTTTTCATATCCCCTTTAGATACTGAAGGACAGCTATCAGAACTCCCCAGAGCCCTCTCCAGGCTCAACAGCCTCAACTGTCAACAAGTCTCCACAGGAGAGGTGTTCCATCCCTTGCATCATGGTCTTCAACAACTTTTAAAACCTAAACCATTATATGATCCTGTGAT